GATCCCATCTTACATCTTGAAATATCTTGAAGAGAAGGTACAGTGGTCACCGGTTGAAACTGATTGCAAATCTAATGATATGATATTAGATGTCTATAAGTTGCTTGTAGCATACTACTTGCTAGGGCAAACCACCATGTTCAGGCTGGTGGTTGCATTTTATAAACACACTTACAATCTCTGCCGGCCTTTTAAGAAGAAACGCGCATTGAAAATCATAAAGACAAAGAATGACAAGTAAGCCAATCTGCGCCAACCCACTCTTCATCACTTTTCATCTGTTGTGCTCGCTGCGGGTGGTTGGCCAATAAACAAAGATGTACAAAGATGATCAAAGAGGTAAAGAGATGCAAAGAGTGCAAAGAGCAAACTGTCATGGTGCAGCGCCCCAATCATGCACCATAACTTCAAGCAACTTGGAAACATTGCTGGCCAACTACAGTAAATGAGATTTCAGGCATGTGCCTGCCTGAACCTAGGGAACATAAATCTAATTTGAGTCTGTCAGTCAGAGTCAATGCCTTCAAAGTCCAAAACAGCATTAGATCGTCTGAGACGAGAAAATGCTCCGGTTGGCTGATGCGCTTCAGCTTCTTGAGTCACTCCATCGGATTGGATTGCTGAAGGATCAACACTTGTCGGTGTTCCATTGTGAAAGCCATGGAAATGCTGAATGGTGATGTGGACGTGGTTGTGAATGTGCTTGTGCTTCACCTTCTTGATGCGCTTCACATGTACTCTGGGCATTTTCGTGTTTGCTGTTGAAGTGAAGCCAGCATGACCGTGTCCATCATTATGGGTTGCAGCCTCATTCCGGAATGATGGCTCCACACGCTCCACAGGATCTGCATCAGGAACATCACTCTCCGACTCTGGAAGTTCCCATGATCCATCATCCGACGCAAGAGCTTCCGGCTGTGCATCTCGAGCACCCTCATCCGCCATTGGGAAGGATGGATTTTGGCAGGAACGACCAACAGAATGAAACTGAAACTGCAGCATCAATCAAGACACTTAAAGATTTGCGCAATGCTGAACCGGAAGGACAGTGCAATTTAGAAGCCGGTCTGAATCAGAATGCAATAGAAACGTTTCTACGAGACTGTGTTTATAAAATGCCCACATCAGCAAAATCTCAAATAAATCTGGTTCATGTGCTTGAAAAGCATTTCATAAACCAGCAAACCCTGCCAAGAGAAAATGATGCTCATCTTCTTGCGCCGTCTTTTGCCCATATGATCAAACTGTACTGGAACTGTCTTGCCTCAAGCAGGCAAAACAACTGTCTTTGCCTCAGCCTCAAAATAAACAATGCGCACTAGCAAGCAGCTTTGGCTGCCCAAGTCTAAAGAAGCATTGGCATCACGTTTAGTTGCTATTGTGCTTCTGCTTCCAACACTTGAAAACACCTGTGGCGAAGCGCTGTGGGTAAATTGCAGCTTCAGCCAGATCCTTGCCGCCATGAAATGATCCATTGGGTTCATAAACAACATATGATTTTGGCTTCTGGCCTTTGGCCAAAAGCCTCAAATGTTTTTTCTTCATTCGTTGGCGATGTTTTTCCTTCATATGCTTTGTTGCTCTTCTCTCTATCCCCACCATTGTTGGCAGGTTGGAATACAAATGGGTAGGTTTGATCAGGTCGTGGCCGAAGCTACCCAGGACCGTGTAAAAGCGCTCGAGTTTCCAACGGCAAATCACTTCAAGAAAGGAAATTTGCTTTGGCAGCCATGAAGACACTGGCTGCTCCAAGACCAAGTACAACCGTGGACGAAAGTAGGCCAACAGGAGAAGGAATGTCACCTGAGCTGGCCAAAAGCAACATGGGTCAGCTACAGACTGTTGAACAGGGCTCACGCAGGCAGAAAAGTAAGCAGTCAAGTTGCTGTGTTTGCAAGGATGCGATTTGACAACCGCACGCAGTGGTACTGAAGATTGCCCAGTAGGTTGCTTTCCTACAGCAAAGCAGAGGCCATCAAACCATTACAATCTGCTGAAATATGCAGAAATTATGTTTCTACACAGTGCTCATATCCTCATCTAGACAACGAAGGCCTTCTGTGATATATGGTGTTACAGCATTTTATAAATCATCACGTAAGAAGAGAGCTGTCTTCTTAGGTTTATGAAATGACTAAAGTACAAAAAACAACAATGGTTGAAGGATATCAAAGCATGATTGAGATTGTTTGAGCATTTTATAAACAAACTCAATATTTATAAAATGATCATACCCTCACTGATACAATCAGAACACTTCAACAAAACAATTTTCTGGAGTATTTATTTATATTCTGATAATTTTGAAACATGTTCTAATCCTTTGCAAACCTTCACTGCCAATCAAAACCAAGAAACTGAACGGCCATGGGTTCCTGCCGAAATGCCAACAAATAATGAACATGGAGGTGCCAATGAAAGCAATGCTCCGTCCATGGTCCTCAGCTTTTGGGTCTATTTTTGATTAAATTATATATGTAAATTCTCTCTTGATCTCTCCAGTATTGAAAATGGTATGAAATGGTTGCACTGTACACTTGCTCTCACTCACAACTGCCTACTCCACAAACATAGCAAGCCATGTTTCTGGAGCCCAAGGTTGAGAAGTAGCATGAATCCTGCTCGAGAAGTGATGTCTTGGCATGGGTCACTTTTTACATCATATGCAGCGCTGGCATAGCCACCTTTGCTGAATGCTTGCGCAATCTTTGCGCTGGCTGAAAACACGTCCAGATTCATCAGGTTCCTCTCGCCCTCCCAACGAGAGCAGTGCTGGGATAGACGCCCCCAATCCCCCGGCGCATAGTACCATTGAGATTCTGGAATTGTGGAGGTTGCGTCCAGGGATGACCCAGCACTGACAACCTAAGCAGGTAGAAGATCTTTCCATGTTTGATTTTTGTTTATACAATGATTTTTATTGATATTTCATAAATTACAAGGGACTTCACATTTTATAAACAAAAACCAGTGGACAAAATATATAAGAATATCTTGGGTTCGAATATGTTCGAACAGGTCAAGCCACCAAGACAGGCTTGCACACAAGCGCCAAGCATAGAGCCCATACATGTAAGACATGCATGGCTTCGGACAAGTCTGATCAAATAAGGACAGTTGTCAGGCGGTCCCAACTATTTGAGGCTGATGCCGAGATCCAAAAATGAAAACACATGAAAACAGTAAAATGTTGCTGCGGCATGTCTTTGCCATATGCGACATGTCAAACATGTATTCAAGCGGTTTCGAAAGAGAAGCGCAAAGCACTGCTTGCTGGTTTCAAAAAACGGAGTGTCCTTGTGTCTCAACGGAAGAGGATTTCTTGTCCTGCCGGAGCACGCTGTTCAAATATGTTCCCAAATTTTTGCATACTCAAACGCAATCAAATTCAATCCAGGGGCACAGACACGAAAACTCTACCAACTCAAGGAAGTTTACGCCAACACATGAAAATCAGTGATCTTGAGTGATATTTCACTTCACCCGTCTATCGGAACTTGTGCGCCTTCGGGTTCGCAATACCAATTGCTTTGGATAAGCAGCTTGTCCACTTCCACCTGCAGCCAACAAACTCCTTTTATAAAATGAAAAACCTGCCTTCTGAGTGCATCTAGACAAGGAAACAGTGTCAAACCTTGCATTTTATAAAGCCAACTATTCTCCATGTGTTAACAGTGTGTAAGGTTTTTTGAGGAATCGTAATGCAAATAGATTTATGATGATTTATGAAATGCACCCATGGTGGCACAGTCAAAACTCAAAACACATCACAGCAACAAAAAATCACTGTATAAAGACTTGTCAACAAAACATACACTTTTCTTGATCTAAACTTTGCATTTCCACACAAAAACAAAGTCAAAAAAAGTAAAAATCAATAAATATCATTAAGATTCATTGAGTATCAATCCATATCAATCCATTACATGAATTTACCAGCCAATGCAACCATGTAGCCCTTCACCGTCAATGTAGTAGAACTCATGATTGCTGCGACCACCCCCTGCTCGAGCTTGTGAACAGCGCGTACCTTGTGTCCGGAGTGCAAAATTGAGAGCTTGTAAAAAATACAAAACATTCACATTCTGCAACATTAGCGTCTTAATGTCTTAGCGTCTGTCACTCCAACTGTTCATGTAAATATATTGTAATTCATTGTTTTCTAATTCTTCACTCCAACTGTCGTGTAACATTTCTTATTGAGCTACGCCAAATCTGTCTTTGGTTGTCGAATTCCGGAGGTAGCACATCTGCCACACAATATCCGATCTTGCACGTATTCGGGCAGCCCAAGGGAGGCTCTTTCGACGTCATGGCAGCTTCTGAACGGATTCCAATCCAGTCAAGAATGCCAGACCTGTTTCTGTATATGTTATATGTGTTCAATTATGTCAAGGCCTTCATGTGTCATGCCTTCATCTATTCAAACTGTCTTTGTTGGTCTAAAGAAGTGGCGGTACCACTTGGACATAAATGGTGCGGCCTGCCAACCCCACGGCGCGGCATTCAAGCTCAAGAAATTGAACAGTCAAGACAAGTGAAGTCTGAAGACTAATCAAAAAAGTTTTAGTGTCTGTCACCCAGGCGTTTCTCTATAAAATGCCCCAACGTGCTTCTCAGAACCAAACCTAATCCTTTTTATAGAATGCATCAATTTGGTTGGATGCCAAGCTTCCTAAACATCATCCATCTAGTGCTCCCAGGGTTTGGCATTTTATATATACCAACGGTTAATCTCTATAAAATGACAAATCTTCATTGTCATAGGAAATCTGTAAATATAGCCGAGTATATGTTTATAAAGTGAAGCTGGTTTAAGGCATTTTATAGAGGAAAAGGTTTTGCATTTTATAAGGACTCATTGAAGGGTGATATATAATGTATACATACCTATGCTAAAAGTCCAAATCTGGTGCTCGCCTTGGTGGCCAACAAGAACCCTGTCCGGGTCCGTCTGCACCGGACGTCCAATCTTTGCCCTGCAAATCTCAGCCCGGAACAGTCTGCATTCTCGTGGATGTCGGTGACGAAGGTCTCACAGCCGATCGATTGGTAGCTGCAACACCTCGCTGCAGACGACCGGCGAGCCGTAGTAGAACAGGTCGCTCGCGCGACAAACTCGACCTCTCCACCTCCATTTCTCCGCCTTTTCCGAGAGATTGCCATGCTGGTCTAAGCTTGGGACCACTGTCGCTTGGTCTCATTCCATACCTCTCCCATCCCTGTTCCTGGCTGAAGCGGAGCTCCGTCTCCCACAGGGATCAATCAAAATCATGGGTCACATAGGGCCCACCATCAGGGACCTACATGTCGGTTTTCATGCATGAAATGAGGTATTGTACGACACATCGCAGGTCCGATCTGGAACTTCCCAGATCTGGAAGTCTGAGATCGCGGGACAGGGGCCCTATCAATCATCTCGAGGTTCATCTTTGATGGTTTTCTGGGGTAGAAAGTGTATATGGAAAAATACAGCTGAACATATATATATATATCTGGACTATGTGGATTGCGTTCAACTTTCGGAGCACGACGCCTAAAATTGCCATGATTAATAAATATATATATATTATATATATATATACATGGTACATATATTATTCATGTAGATATATATATATGCTTGATACAAACCACTACACAAAAAAATAGTTGATGATGTAATTTGACAAGTCTGATGAATCAACTATTCAGATCAACCAATGGAATTGCGCCCAAGCTCTGGCCACGATATGCCACCATGTTTCACTCACGTTACCAAGTTTAAACATGTGATGAACTGGCCACCAGGAACCTCTGCCCTTGCTGCCACCCTGGCTGAGCTCGTTCCGGCCTGCGCCAGTCGATGGCGCCACACCAGACTGCAGGGCGAGGCAACAGTGTTTCGCTTGCCCGTTGGCTTCACTTAAACGCCCTGAAACCAGTTGGCTTCACTCATGAGAGACTCAAATCTGATTTCTGCCTGTGACTAGAACATCTGTACCCCAAACATCCTAGCTGGTCCAGGTGTGAAAGTCACATACAGTCTCAAAGCCAGCCTTTCTCATCGCAGCCACAAACTCCTGGCGTGGCAAACAACCAAGACAAACAGCTTGAGATGTATTCCCAGGTCTCTAGCAGAAGCGAATGATTGCAGCACCAGCACCGTCATGTTTCGCAGCTTTCGATGATGCTTTCCCTGGTCGTCCCTGGAGTTTCCGTGCAGGACAAAAGAAGCCGAGCAGACCAGCTTGCTCAATTTGTCGTCAGCATCCACCTACAAAGCGGGCATTAAAGTCGGCAACCAACTTTTGAACAGGTGTGACATGTTCCAACCACACAAGCTACAGGCAAAGCTTTGATACCCAACCATAGTTATCTAGTTATCTTCCAAATCATGATAGCCTTTCATATGTGCTGCTCGTTGATGGTAATCTCTCATCTGGGTCAAGTGGGTAGCCTGTGGCCTGGAGGAATGCGCCTTTCCGAAGGTTGATGATGAAGCATGACGAACACATCTTTGAATATATGATGCAGCGTGTGGACTTATAAATATATTTTACTAATTGTTAATCTCTCACAAGTGTTCCAAGGCCTTTGTGAGATCTGTCTCCTCTGAAGAGCAAATTCACAATCAATCGCCTTCCTAGAACCCCTTTGAAAGGTGGCTTTCATCTGCTCACTTTGCCCCCCTAGTCACCAGACATCCTGGGTGGTGTGTGTTTGAAGACCACCGGCAAACCGGTGAACGCCCAGTCTTGAAGCATCACCACTCGTTGCTTCACGTCGTCCGAAGGCTTCAGGTCGTTGCAAAGTGCCTTCGATCGTCTCCAAGCTCTCCGAAGCTCTCACGTCATTCGACGCTCTGATGTGGTTTGATGGGGTCTTCTTTTCTGGATCGTAATTGGAAGTCCCCAAAGGAAACAGGTGCTGCGTGCCGAAAAAAACACATGCCACGAAAAAAAGAGTGCCACGTGCCGTCTGATGTGTCACCGATCTTTTGGTTCAGACCTCTTGATGTGTTGACACCTGGGTTTCGCCCCCCTGAGCTTCCCAACATCCGCCGAGCCCAAGAGCTGAGTCCTCGAAGCTGGGACGACAATGGGGTAGTTGGCACCGGTGGGTGGCTGGTCGTGGTCCACGGGGTGGTGGATGACTTTAGGATGTGCTTTTTGTGTTAAACATATATATATATTGTAGAAGGTCCAAGGGTAGGCAAGGATAGGACTAAGGATAGGTATAAGGTGGTGAAGGATATGAAACCAGCGGGCTGCCCAAGGGTCGGATATGAATCTATAATGAATGGTGTGTATTCTTCTCTTGGGCATCTTCCAGTGCCCTAGGAACCTCCTGGCACACTAGTGCTCTGAGAGTCTTCACCAAACCACCATTGTTTTGGTAAGGATCTTACATTTACACTACAAAACAATCAAGGGACCATTTGGTTAGATGGTCATAGATGGTCTTGGAAACTAGGGTGGGACTAGGTCTGTGGATATGTGTGGAGCGACTGGAAGGGCTGAGCCCCATGGGTCGTGGCTGGGTATTATGGAGCCCCAAACGAGTCACCCTTCGAGAAGAGTAGTTCTTCATGTGTCACTGGCCCTTCATCTCACAGGGTTTGGGTAGCCAAAAGTGGTCCTCTTTCGTAAATACCACGACGATCCCGACTTTTGGGCGAGGTCAGATATGGAGCGTCTTGGCCATCCCTGAATTTGAAAGCATTCCCCAAAGCAATGCACGGGACTGGCATATACATACCTATACATCGAGGTATTTTCATACACGAAGAGTCTGGACGGGTCAGTCAGGCCACCGAGCAGCCACGGTGGCCAACGGCCGTTGGACATGGACAAAACCCCGGCGGTGATGACTCACTCCCGAGAAATGCTTCTTTGGTTATACGACAAGTCCTGAATGTCTTGCTTTGTGCTTTTCTGGTTTAGTAGGTACGGTACAATATGTTATGGCTGATACATGATAATACATTACATATAACATAAAAGCGGGTTGATTGTTTATGGTATTTAATGATGTTTACTGTATATAGGTTATGTTGACGCCGAAGTGACTTCACCACCATGGACGCCATCCAAACCCTGTGTTTAAAAGAACAGCATATATAGACAACAAAAAAAACTGGTCCACAAGGGTCTTCGACTGTGTCGTGTGACATGTGAGCTGTGTCGGCCTGTGCTTTGACCTCTGGGGTCTCCCAACGTGTAGCTGGGCAACGAGGCCTCCGAGCGCAGCTTTTGCAACTCGCTGAGGCCTCGGTGGCTCGACCTCGACCTCTGGTGACTGCGATGACCGGGCGCTCTCGCCCAACTCACCGAGCTGAGCGAAGTGGACCAAGGACTTTGGTGGATCGAGCCAAGTCGTGGGCTCCACGCGACCTATATAATTACTAGCGATGGCTTCCAACCTAGGATTTACTGTATAGAAAAAGGATGCATCTCTTGAAACATTCCCTTGCAAGAATTCATCCGACGACAGCGCCCGGACTGTGCCCTTATGAGATGGGGCTGGTCACTGCTAGTGTGTTAGGAACATTACATGCATTAACTAACGCCACTATGAGGCTTTATAAGGTGCTGTAGATTTTTTGGTGAAAGTTCTTAACATCATCTCCAAACATTGATGTTTTTTCCCCCTGATTTCCAGATGATTGAAGTTTATGTGTTTTGTTTATCCAGAAATGTGACAAAAGCAAATCACTGAATGTTACACTTTGGTTTGTTTTCTTTTTGAACATGTCCCTTGGCTAGCCATTGAACAAACGCCTTTACTGGCCATTGAATGTGACCTTGTCTGGCCATTGAACATGTATAGCTGTGCAGGATGACTTTTTCTGTACCCGCTTGTACTACATGCATGTGGTATATTTGTATTATATTGGAGAACATGTGGTCCCAAAGGTGCAAAAAAGCATGAACCACCAAAGGCTTTCCCAAAAACTTGGAGATTGACACATTTCTTTCTGTCGAAAAAGAGATCTTTCATGATTCATGATCTTCTCTACCACTCCAAGGGTTGCTAAAGTCTCTCTTACGTCACGGTCTACATTGACTTCGATCTGGTCGCCCATCAGCTGGCTGTGCAGTGCGCAGGTTCCTGAGGGTCATGCTCAAAGAGCCATCGCAATCACTATCTGCCATTGCCTGTGGATCAACACTCACAGCGTCACTCGCATCAAGCGTGGGGTCATGACGGTCATAGGCCAAGAAAGGAACAATCCTGTGGTTCACATGGCTCACTTCCACAAATTGAACGTAACATAAGCATGTTTCTAGCACGGATGACTTCATGGGGAGATTGGGGGTTTGACCAAACAACTGAATCAACGATTGTCATTCATTCACACACCCCGTATAATGTTATGCAATATATTTTAGACTATGTCTTGGGATGTCTTGGGTCTATCCTATGACCAGTAACAGTGGATTTTTTCCGCTTTCAGCCTTATCAGGATACGTTTTGTATCCACAGACGCCTAGTCAGCTTGCGCGTACTAGGGGCCTAATGTTCGGGAGCGAATTGGCAAGAAGGATAATTGTGATGATGATGATGGTTATTAAAGGCCCTGTTCAAAAAAGTGATAACTAATTGTTTACTGACTGTTACCGGTTGTAGGACAGACCCAAACTATGTCCATTTTAATATATACAATTTCAATATCAAAAGGAAACGGGCTCGGCTAAGTTCCTTCTCCCCCATCCGGCCAGGACGATAGTTGGACTTACAAGTCAAAGTGTGCCCCTCGGTCGGACACTCATTTGTCCAATGGGTGGGCTTCTTGGAGATTCCTTGGACAGTTTTCCGCCATCAAATCCTCTGAAACGCGGCCAGCTTGTGCAACCAAACAACCTGTGCCATCGTCAAAAGGGCAACCCGCTCCTTTCTTGGGCAAGGAATCGCCCCTTTTGGAAAGTCTGGCCTACTTAAACAAAACAGCAAACTCTTGTCTAATATCCTACAATATTGCACATCCAAAATAACATCAACATAAACATGATCGGAAACACATATTTACTTCCACGATTCCAACAATCGGGAATTCAACAAGGCCAACAACTTCACTTGTGGTACATGAAGAACAGAACCCTGCATTTGGGTGGATCGGGAATTTACGTCTTACTCAGCCAACTGGACATGAAGTTAAGGCTGTAATTACTGAACATGGAGTCGTTTTCAAGAGGCATTGAACGTGGATCTCCCACCACTTGCAGTGAGACCCTGCCGATCCAGGCTCTCCGACAAAGGTTTTCTCCGCTTCTGCATCCACCATGTCCTGCCCCAAACAGCCGGATGAGCGGAAGTCGGAGACAAGCACACGAAAACAGAGTTCAGTCGTTAAGGAAGGTGTGTTTTTGTCAAAAGCTTTGTCTATAAACAAGCAAAGTAGAAGAAAAAACGATTTGTTTCTCAGAGTAGAAAAACAAACAGTCTAGATGATTTGACAAAAGCACGCTCTTGCATATATACAGTTTTCATGAATCTCCGACCAAGTACTTGAGTATAAGCAATGGCCATATACAGTACAAAATTATATGGGAACAGCAAAGCTGACAGAAGGCAAAGTCCTTGACTTGCAAGCCCGCATTCAACTCATGAATGGTGAGGCCATTTCCGTCCTGGCGGCAAAACACACATGTAGCCTCATGAAGATTCATAAAGCAATTTCAAAGTGGTCTGCCACATGTTTCCTTATGTTTCTTTTACTAGTTGCTTGGAACATGACATGTTGAGTGCTGGCATCATGACTGCGGACACGTGTATAAAATGCCAAGAATTTCCAGGCTCCCTCGAAAGCGCTCAAAACGACCTCTTGAGGTGGGGCTCAAAACCTAGCAGTGTGTCCCCCAGGCAGTTGGAACTGTTGATTCACTTCCAGGTCCAGTTATAGATCCAGTTCCAGTTCCAGATCTAGTGGCCAATTCAATTTCTCCGATGAAACTATGTGTTTGTGCGGGGAGATCCAGTTCTAGTTGCCATTTCACTTCCTACGACTAAATTCTAATTTTGGGTGGGGGGAGTTCCAGTTCCTGATGCGACACTAGGAAACCGGAGGGGTCATGGCAAAGCCGCCAGCACAACCCTCTCACTAAGGGTCCGGGTCCCGGACGACGCGAATCCGACCCGTCGGGTCTGGAGTGTGTCACTGTGTGTGTGTCCCCGTGGTGAAGGACCGTTTGGCCTGTTTCGAGCGTTTGGGCGGATCTCCATGCGGATCAACAATGGAGGCGAGGCATATCCTATGCATGGATTGACAGGTGAATCGTGTGTTGCCTTTTTTGCAGGACCATGCAAAAGCCTTGCCCCTGACAAATACGGACACTTACTCATGATTGCTCATGCAGAACAGGATCGGCTCATGCAAATGTGCGGAGTCCGAAGACCTCAAAGCTTACTACACACTTCTGACTCTGACTCATGATTGGAATGGCTGATGACTTGAATTGAAAAAGACGACATGTTGTTCAGTGTTCATCTTTGCCTTATCGTACCTTCTTCCTGTCTTCTTTTGGTCTTCACCCCTTTTTGGTGACCGACTCGCCCGACTCGACTCGCAGTTTACCGTCGCCCGACTCGCCCGCGTCAGCCGCGTGGCACCTGGTCCCATTGGAAGAGCTGCTGTGCGAAGCAGCTGGGCAGCTTGGAACTGACGCACACCGCGGGCGCTGGACGAGCGCGGCAGCGCACAACTGGTGTGTTTTGGTGATGACACGGAGGGCTTCTTAGATTAAACTGATTATCTAAATGTCTTGCAAAGGAAACATGCATCATGAGGGTGTTGTGCATCCCAAGACAATACAAAAGAGTTGTACTTAAAAGCAGCAAAGCATTAATTAATAACGTTGCAATAACTGATGTCACTCACCACACTTCACTAATTCGACATAATTCGACTAATATCCAATTGGTAGGTGAAAAATAAGCAGACCAAGCCAACCAAACAGTGTTGGGATGGGTCAAAACCTGGAGCCCCAAAACCATGTAGCTTGGCCTCCCATCTAGGTCAACCAAGGTATCCTGGTGCCATGACCCGCAGCCAAAAACATGTAAAAGAAAAGTATGAAACTCTGCAGCCCATGCAGCCCACGGCAGAATAAGGAGTTTGTTTGAATTGTCCAACGTCGCCAGAACTGCCGCACTGCCCCCATGAGATGGGCCTGCTGGACTGCAACCTGAAACGCGGCTAGCTACTGGCGAGTGATCGTTTGGTGGACACCATGCGTTGATGCATCCTTTTTCCGGGAGCATTCATGAACGCATGGAGCTTCATGTCTTGCGCTTTTGTTCTGCACATGGACGTACACCCAGACTCAAGCACGACCTGTCTGGGACTGGAATATACCCCTTCCACCACCCCAAGTGATCGTCGTGAGCTCACCGCAGCAGCGGGGGAAAAGAACACATGTCTTGAGATAAACCCATCCGCCATCCGTTCGACTGTTTAAAACATGGGAAAGACCATGAAAGACCTGGCTTTTGTAGTGTAAATTCCCGAGTTCGGGATTCCGGCCATCAAATCAATAATGGTTGGAAACCCAAGGTGGTGATACTTTCCAGGTGGAATTGGTGCCTCAAAAGGGTTTGGACCCGGGAGAACCTCAATGAGTCTGGTCCTAACTCAAACCCATATTTGGAGTAAGGATGGCACGCTTCAGGAAAAGGACATGGACATGATTGGACATGGTTACAGCCTCTGAACATGCCATTTCTCTACATGCCAAAGAGATCTATGTTTTCGATTGGCTTTTTTCAGGGCCGGCTTGGACCATTTGGGCACCTCACATTCACAGAACAAAAAGGGTTTCTGCGAGGTGTTTGGATCCAATTTCACCGCCGCCGGTCGTCTGGTCAGTGCCAGCCACACAGCGGCCCTACGCACACCGTCGTGTTGTACGCAAATTCTCTGAGGCAAGCAGCTCGGCGGCACTCAAGATGCCATCAAAATTCGAATCGGACTGCTCGTACAGGCTATTTCTGTAGACCTGGCGGCGATGTTTTCGGTGAAGCAGTCGTTTCGCGAGGATCGGTGGTTGGACCACGGTGACCGGTGTGTGTGTCACATTCGTCGATCCACCGATACCATACGCCACTGTCACTGCCCAACTAAGACGGTGATGGTATGCTCGTGAGATATCCGGAAGACGTCTGATTGAACACCTTTCCGTTTGCTCAGGGCCATTGACAGGTCGAAGTCTTTTGCACTAGTCGGCTAATGCAATAACAAGATTGTACAGTGTCAATGCACTATTGGGACCACCAGGACAGCAGGAATCTATTCTCTTACGAGCTCTTTCTCAAGTGTGTGTGTGTGTAGGTGTCATCGGGGGCCACAGGGCCGGCGGCCGAGCTGCGGAATTTTACATCGGAGAGCCAGCTTCAAATGCTTGCCGCCTCCTGCGCCTCTTGTGTTGAACAGGTATCTTCTGGTATCTTAAAGATCACTCACCCTGACCGATCCATCACCCTCACACCACCGCCCACGAAGGGTCCGACAGGATTGCGTCAGTGGGGGCCTCGGTGGCCTGGTCGATTTGGGCCTTCAAGCTGGTGGTCCAGGAGCCTCTACCTGACATGCAAATCAGTCAGTATAGGGCTCCCACTACCTCTATTTTGAAGGCCAGAAAAGTCCGACCCTACCTTCCGATGTAGTTGGAGCCCTAGGGATTTTGCAAAGGACATACCGTGACTTGGGACATGGACAGATTGATGTCCGTTCCGTTCTCTTCGAGGTAAGGGCGGTCGATTGTGATCTTTAGTTGTGAACAGCTTGAGCACAGCTGGGAAACATCATCATAATCTGCTGCGGCTTGAATCAGTTGAATCCACTAGAATATCCCCTTGGTACCGACACCTAGGGTTGATCCCTAGGAATTGAGGTACCAAAATCCTATGTCGAAGTGCCAGTTTAGTAATTTTGTAATTGAGTGGTGCCCAAGGCTTTTTTGGGGGGAAGGGGTTTTAAATCAGTGGCGACAACCTTCCCCAATCGGCCACCAACAACTTCTTGTGGAATCCAGTCTCCAACCCCCAGCTCCTCCCCGTCACCAGTGGTCACTACTAAATTCCTGCACATAAGTGATGAAAAGTGTGTTCTACTAGATTTCTGTGCCTCTAGGTGACTTGGTATCGTCCGTGTTTGTTTGTTCTTTTTTCAATGGTGACGTCAGCCCCCAGAATTTCAAAATGGCGCAAGCAAAGGGGATCTAGAACATAGGTCCGTATAGGATTTAACTGTTTCCTCCGATGGTTCCCAAATGTTGCTAGCTGCTTGGAAATGTGTTTCTTTCTTTTGCCTCGTCAAACATCGTTTTGGTTGAAATCGTTGGTGCCTTCATCTTTTCTGTGTCTGCTCGCCTTTCCACATCGAAAGCCAACTGAACATATGTGAACTGATGAATAAACAACAAGTACAAGGTTTTATCATGTGTCTACCTTGCATGCATGTGAACAATAGCCTGACCTGGATCACACTCGACCCTCCCAATCTCAGCTGCCCCACTACAATTGAAGAGTGGCGGCTGATTCACCGTCTCTGAGACCACCTGGCGAGGTCGTTTTTCTCTGCCTTTTGCCCTGCTTTGCTTCCCTTGGCCCCACGTAGTCACGCAGCCATGGCCAAATGTTCAGTGCAAAATGCGCCGGGGACGTATCTCAGTGCCTTGACGTCCTGGGAGACCAGCTGGGTCAATAAGCCTGGCTCCGCGACCCACCACTTCGACGAAAGTGGACTCAAATAACACCCCCTTGGGAGCTTGAACTGATTCTAATCCAGCCTCGATGGTCCTGTATCAAGATGAGCTGGGCACGTTGTCAGCAGGAAACACAAATCTTGGACACTCTGAGATAATGAGTGTCTTGCTAGACCTCCATGAATGTGCCAATCAGTCATACAAGTCATACACTGAGTTGCTCTCGCGCACAATCTCAGGGAGAGAAGTGGTGCGCGCTGGAATTGGGATCATTCCCAGGACCCCGCAAAAGAAAGTGTCTTTCTTTAAGGCGGGACCATTTTCCACCAGAAATGTAAACGTCCTTGTCTTTCTGCGACGGAAATGGATTGAACTTCGAACTTCAGGGCCGAAAGGGAGGGAAGATCGTCACTCCCAGAAGGGTCGGTCCGGAAGATCGATGTGAGGTGGAGTGTTCAGCGGTATTCGACCAGTGAAAAGGGATAGACAACTCCAACAGAGTCTACGTTCTTGATCCCAGTGGTCAAAAAAAGAAAAACACACCTGTGTTGAGCTTGGGGGCTTGCACTAAGCCAGGCAAAGCCTACATGGTCCAGGTTGTTGTAATATATGTGCGACCTACATTTGCCACCAAAACCATCTAAATCTTAGCAGTAGTTGCGTATATGGAGCGTTTGGAACATCAGGTCTTACAAATGTCTGGCGGCACACACTCCAGAGCTGACTGCCTCGATAGGCCACCACCTGAGCGTCGGCGTTCTTTTTCGTGATAGGTGGTCCTGCAAACGTGACTATATAGTTATAGGGATAGCAACATGTAGCAAAGCTCTCGTTTACGACCCACAAATGACAGGTTAGTTTTGATTGGTGTAATCCCTGGTAGCCGTACTTGCCTCCACCAAGGCTGCTAAGGAGGAAAGCTTACAAACATGCAGCACCCCTGGCTCTGCAACCCCTCACCCACAAGCCAAAATGCAAGCAGGAGCACAGGTGTTTGGTTTCGATGTTGGAAATACACCGCTTGGACCGTTATGGACGGACCCATGGGAGACTTGGTTTCGATGGGTCCAGATCCTCGCTCACGGACCGACCCGACCGGTGAGCGGCTCCAGGTGCCATGACCCACATCTTCACATCTGCCGCCCATAGCCGTGGCTCCCCACCAGAAAGACCACTCCAGCCATGGCGGTGAGGCAGAAGACTCAGAAGGGACGCTGGAGACGGTCTTTTGGGACAGGAGGGTTCGTGGCAGATTGGGAGATGATCCGAGTGAATTGGAGCGAAAGAAAGTGGCGGGTTCTTGGATCTATAAGAAAGTGGAAATAAGTGGAACATAAAACAACTCAGGGGTTGCATCAGAATGAGCACAGGCAAAGGTTACTGATGGTTACTGTCTAGTGGGTTGCTTGTTGGATCCGTGTGGTGGGTGGCATTTGGACCCTAAGTGAGTGGAAGAGGAATGGGATGTTCCTTCAGCGGTTTGGACACAAAGAAAAGGCCTTGGGGCCGATTTGACTGTGGGTCAAAACTTGGAATCCCCACAACCCTTGTAGCTTCACCTCCCAAGTAGTTTGTTCTGGCTGAAAAAAAGCACTAGTCCCAAACAACAATCGAGACCAAAGAGTATAGCTTGTGGAAGTCACCTTCGATCTTCTTGTCACATGTCACAAGGGAGAAAAAGGAGACACCGTGTCCACGACCACGGCAACACCGGACGTGGCGGGAACGGGAGCAGAAAGGCATGGGCCCTTCAGTCAAGGCTCAACAATCCTCAGCTCTTCCACCTTCTGAGTTCCTTTGCAGATGTGATTTTGCTGGGGCCTTTCTAGGGCGTACAAAAAAGCCTATGGGATGTGTTTAATTAGGAGAATTGGACATATTGGTTAACACCATAGAACAACACTTTTGAACATGGGGAACACTGGACAAAGATCAATATTTTGAACATGGGGAAAACCAACATCCCATGAACACATCAGGCCTGTCGCAGAGCACAGGGCTGCCGGGCGCCAGCCACAACAGGATCCCCACTTGACGCGTCCATTGTCCACCTGCCGCGGAGCGGCCAAGATCTCGAATCGCTCGGGTTTCGTTGACACCCAGAGACATGGAAGATAATACATAATTTATATTAGAATCCTAACATTGAGAAACTATATGTACAAAAAGAAAACAACACTTGGATTTATATGATGTTCTAACTATAAAAGCAATGGCCTCCAACCTAATAGCGATGGCCTCCAACCTAGAAGCGATGGCCTCCAAACTATTTATTAGGATTATAAGACCTTTTTCAAACTTAACGTTCCTCTGCACTGAACAGTTGAAGGATGTTGAAGGAGACCAGATTTTCCCATGTAATGACCTTCAATTCCAAACGTAGTCGACCTAGTTCAGATTCTTTTCACACCATGAGGTCCTTGATGTCAGCATTGTGCAGCGAACAGGGTTGTGCAGCGACCAGGTGAACAGGTTGTTTATATATTGTGATGTCTATAATTAGTTTAAACAGTCTTTTGAGTGACTTTTGATCACTTCTCTCTGCTGCAGCGCCATCGCCTGCTCGATTTTCCAGGAACCCCCAACCACTGGCGCATATCTCTCCACCTGCGCATTCGCTCACGCGGTCGTGCAGTTGCACCGTGCGCGGCTGACATGTCGTTTTCCTCACCGTGCACAGCGGAACCACTCGTGAGGATGTCAAAAGCATGCGAAGCACGATTGGTTGCAAATGAGTGGTTGTTCAAGCAAGAACGAGCACTTGGAGTTCTTCGGTGATTCTTCAAGCTCGCCACCCTTGGTATTTTTTTGCTTCAAACACATGCGGCACTGCCGAGAAATCGGCCAAATGACATGTTGAAATCATAAACTCTTCATCCTTCACTGGCTAATGCCCATGATCACTGCTTTTGGCTTCGTCTGATAGTTTTCTTGCCCCACCACCCCAAAAACACTTTCCCGCGGTTTCGTGTGGCAAGCTCATCCATGTATCGCCTTGTCATACTGGCCGAAGCCAGGTCCAACATATGCCCAAACCTGCTGCGGCTCTCCGCGCTCGAAACAGGCATCTCCTCAGCCAGATCGAGACATGCCTCTGACAGCTGAAACGACGTATCAATCAAAGCCTGAGATTTCAAGTTGGTACCCTGCAGGAAGAAGATCGGTATTTCATGATTTTCATGAGACAAGCTTCTATTTGTCAAGAAACCGACTCATGACCCACTGAAAGGGACCGCTGGATTCCCAAAGTCGGTAGAGAGTTCCGAAGAGGTAAAGTTAAACAATGTCGGTCAGTACACCCTGGCACCTCCTGTTGAGGGTATGATGTTTTGAGGCATGGCCAAACAACAGTTGCCTGACAGGGTTTCAAGAATTCCCGAGAAAACGCGAGGGAACCATATCATACCATGCATGGCATGCCGTCAGAAGTGACGAGGAATGCAAATTCCACTGCAAAGTCTGTATTTAAAAGACGTGTCAGGAAACCTCACTTGACAAACTCATGGAACATGGTACCAATATGGTGCGTACATCGTAGCACCTGAATTACGGCGCTGTTTCATGCGCTTGGATTCACAGGTGAACTGAGGCTGCTGCCGCATTCCCCTCCATCCAAACAACCTGTTGGGCCCTTGACAGCCGGGCCTCAGGTTTAGCCCGCACGAACGAAACGAGTTGGCCGCTGGAAGTTCGCCAGACTGACGAAAAGACGCTGAACAAAGGATTTCTTTAGGGCCACCGGTTGGCGAACAAAAAAAGTGGACACATTCTCGAACCCAAACTATTTCTAAACACTCCACAGGTCCATAATTCACTCTATGGGACAGGCACATTCACATACTTGACCATTTTCGGCACAGGACGTTCATGGCGAGAGTTGAGGTTCTCATACCGGAGGTGGGGCCACTATACTTGTTTGGTCCTGCTCCGTATCTGGATGTTTGCTCTGGATTGAGGCGGGATGGAACCCCGTAGTCAGTGCAGTATCTTTCACTGACACGCTCCAGCCACAGGCACCCAGTGCATCATTATGTCAGAATTGGTTTTTAGAGGTCAAAGTTGAGGTTTGCTAGAGCGCTTTCCGATTTGTGTGGATGTTCATGATGTTCCTCTGCCTGAGGAATAAATGAAACCAACTGAAACAGTTGTGACTTGGTCCTTCTTCACTGAGGAGCGGGCCTCCAACCGAAACAGTCCTGACAAGCGAAGCTTGGTTTGTGTCATCCTCAATCCTCATATACAGTATATATTCTCCTAGAACCTGAGTGACCTCTATTTTGGACCACCAACCACCCAAAATATGGTCTTTTCCTATCAAAACAAAGGTCAAATGGGTTCTAGGCTTATATATATATATATAAACGTTTCCGTGCAATTAATGCGATCGGCACTGCTTTGGTATCAAAACAAAATGTCGGCTGGTTTCACCGGGCAAAATGACATGCGCAACTCACAACCATCCTTTGGAAGCTGAAACCGGGTTTTTGGAAGCTGATGGGGTCTCTCTCTCTCTCTGTGTTGTTGCCTGCTCCAGGCATACTGGTTGTTTTCAGATGCCATTTTGGCTGTTTCACAACGACGCAGTCATGGGGCCTTGCACCTGTGAAAGCAGGATATGATAGGATATGCTACACCCCAAAGACAAACCAACAGTAAAAAAGAAAAACTTTTTGTTTGGCCGTTTGTCTTTGTTTTGCACAGGAATGATATGATGACTTGTGGGAAAATGCCATGCTTCCCGAATGTCTGGAATACTGTTGGGCAATCCGCAGCTCAAAGCTTCCAAAGGATTGGAGCAAATTTTACCAGCTTACAAGGATTGCATTGACATGACCAAAATCATCCATCCAGGCGTCCCTGGAGGTTTGAAAACCAGGACAACCCGTAGTTCGAAGGCATGTGTAGAAAACCCACAATTCCCCTGCAAAAAAAAAACGCGGAAAGGCGTAGAAAAGTATGGTTTTGAAACTTGGTGATTTGCACTGTTTGTCCGCTTCAAATGCATCCTATTCACATCGTTGCATTTGTTCTTTCCAACATCTGGTTTTGTCAGTTCCTTAATACTTGACAGTATGTACTACTGACTAGTAACTTAGGACTTGTCGAACACATATTGTGGCAATTCCCAAGTCCTATGTCATCAGGCGTGAACTCACATGGTCATTTCCTCTTAAGTCCTATGTCATCAGGCCAAAACCATCAAACTCACTGATTATATGAGGCATTCAGGGAAAATGCTGGAGACAACATTTTGCACTTCAGCACTGATGACCAAGGTGCCAAGGAGTTGCAAAAAACAAAGGCGCATCCTATGTCACAAGAGTGTCGGGCAGTGGTATCCACCTGCTTTGCTTCATTGTTAGATTGGGGAGGCGTCCAAAAGCCCTATGACACCAGGTTTCCCCACCCAAACATCCTGTATTGCTCGATGTGTGAGCGCAAACGACCTAGCCCTGTGGGTAGCCCTGTGGGATCCTGTGGGTATGTCACTTGAACCACATTTGCCTAAGTCACTGGACGGTAGTAGTAAACTGTTTGAAGTGCAAGAAACAGCGCAAAAAGATGCAAAAAGGATTTTCGTGCGGCGGTATGGGATTGTACAAAGCACGGGGTGTACATTGATAACTGGCACCATATACAAGTTGGGTGTGTGAACTGCACCTAGGTTCAAGCCCACTGAGCTATTTGATGTATGTTCCCCAAATTCTGAGAATTGCTGCATTGTTTGGCAGTGGGCTGGAAAGGAGGTCGATGTGGTATGTGACATGCCTGAACACCAAAGAGAAGCCACATCTTTTTGCTGCATGACTCCATGACCCCAAAAACATGGTTGCAACATGTTGCAAGTTGCAACATAGGACCTTTCGTTTTCATGGTTGTCAAGTTGTCATGTTTCAAAAAATGCAAATGAAAGCACATCAAAGCACAAATACCTTCCAAACGAAAGCAAACACCCACAAACAAACGAGCGCAAATTCTTGGGGGGACTTGTGGTCTGTTCCACACGTTTTTGAAGCAGTGTTGTGGGTCTACAGCTCCTTTGTTGATGCTGTCCGTGCTGTGCAGGGGGGAGGAGTAGACAGAGGCAGTTCAATTGATACAAAATATGTTCAGCTTGCCAAAGCGCGCAGTTTCTTGCAATGCGGCATCATGGATCAGCTTTGGAAGAAGTCAAAGATGAAGTCGTCGTCCAGATTTTAAACAAGGTTGGATCTCTTTAGTCCAACCCATTCCAATGGATTTCCAGATTTCAAGGTCCAGGTATGTCTGTGTCTTCTGACAGTGCTTCGCTCGACCAGCAAGTTGGCCCCTCCGCGTTGACCGCCCCGCTTCGCTCGTCCAACCGTTCGAGGACACCGAGTTCGGCGCCTCGTTTCCATCGGACGAGGCCACTGAGGTGTACCTCTGGTTCAATCGGACGAGGCCACCGAGTGAGGGAAATTGGGCCCTGGGCAGCTTGAGCCTGTCAATTGTGCAGTTGAATGGAAGTATATTATATGGTCAGTTGGACCAAATGAGCAAGGGAACAAGCTGGAAGAGATGTGCTTCCTGGATGTTCCTGGCGCTTTGGCTTGCGAACAATGAATCGAACATGCTTCAAACATAGTCCAGTGGTGCCAACTTCTTTCCAACCCTGCTTAGTTGACCGTCCAAAGCCGTGGAACCACGCCTGTTGGAGCGGGCGTCCGTTGTAGGGTCTTAAGCCGAAAGGATCGCAGGAACTGATGCCATGACATGACCTCACGTTCGCTCCCTCAGTCGCCTCAGCTGATCAGTCGCCCTCACGTTGTTCTTCAAGCTCTTGTGGATTTGATGTGGGGAAGCACCACACTTACCATCCACTAAACTCTGAACTCTGCCAAAACGAGTTCTGGCTTGACCTATGAATATGCTAATCAAACTGATCCCAAACCCCGGCGACACCCTTTGTGGTCCCCGTTCTGTTCCGGTCCCTTTCCCCGACATCTGCCCATTTTCTTCACAGGTCTGGCTGCTTCGCGGTGACCTCTGGGAACGAACAGGGAACGATGGCTTCGTCCATCGACTCGTTGAGCGATGGATGGACGACGACACCGACACCGGAGATGGATCTTCTAGTGCAAGTTTTTTTCTAAAAACCCTGAAAAAACACGACTTCTGGGGTCCGACTCCGGCCCTTTTTTTCGACCTGTTGGGAGTTTAGATGCTTTTAGTAGGGGGTGTCGGTGTCCCCAATCCCCAAACACGCTTGGGCATCCACTGACGAAACATATTCTTCAGTTTGCTTCTTGATCCTTTGAGTCCCTCCATGGTTGGTCTACTGATTGGCCCGTACATGGTGTATTTTCCGAACCTACCAGGGGGTCGTTGCCTCCCTATTTTGACACACACAGATATATACTGTAATATATATATATATGATATAATATTATCATACATACACGATCCTTCTTTCATATTCTGATTCTTGTCATCGGCGTTGTCATCACCCCGGATGGCAGCTAGGAGAAATGCGCTCTTCCGTGCCCCCCAAGCCCCCACGCACCTCCATGAACTCCCAGAAAGCGTCCATGGTGCGGGAAGAGCGTCGGCCTTGACGGGAGCACTGGTCTCCTATGGCCTTTGATGGACCTGGTATGGAATGTGTGTGGGGGGTTGTGTGTACCCCAAGGTACTGACCCCTTTTCAACCCCATGCCATGTACAGGAAAGCCAGGCCAGTCCCTTCTGTGTCGAGAAAAAAGAGCGAACGAGATCAGAGCTGGCTCAGAGCTGGGTGGAGATCCAGACTGCCCAAGAGATGGGGATGGGATAGGTCCAAATCCAGAGCCCGTTTCATCGTAGGTTGACCTCCTGTAGGTCTGCTATTCTGTTCATGTTCCGCGGGAAACAAAAAAAACGTGTCCCACCCATGGGATTGACCCATCCCCGGTCTCCTTAGGGTCAGAGAACTGTCGGTAACGTCGCGAGGCGCCAAAGGGCCTTGAACATGACCTGCCTTTCATGAGGTTGGCATGACGCATCGGGGCTCAGAATGTGATGGTTCATGACGTCCACCGTTTTAATCAATGATCAAACATGAAACTTCAGACCATGAAACTGAGCCTCATTGGCCCTGCGATGCGTTGGGATTTTGACAGAGGAACCAAGACTAAGATGATGATTCAAAAGCCTCGTGAAGGGCCAATATTTTGAAGCACCTGAGGGCCTTGGCGGAGCACCCCTCTTCCAAGTCCTTCTCTCTGAAAGATAAAAGAAACACGTGTCAATGAAATACATCAAATGCCCGTTCACTTTTGAAGGGAAACAACATGTCGAAGCATAGACATTGGGAAATGTGAATTGCAAATGGCCCTATGATGATTCAAGAAGCCCCGCCCTCTGTGACTCCGCACTACTTACCTCTATACGATGACCTACAACCACCGCACCAACCGAAGTGCTTTGTGCTCTCAAAAGAGTGGGAAACTGGATAATAATAGCAGGCAGATGCTGGCAGACCATTGACCACTCCACATAATGTTCAATCCCAAATAATCAAGTGAGAGGGAAATACTGCAACTTCCAACTCTTCAACAGCTTCATCACTCATCTTCCAGGCTTCCAAGCATCTTTCAGCGCAGGCATACCGTAGGGCGAGGGCATGGACTGGCATACCCGACTCCTCGTCAGAAATGGCAAGACTTAGGGGTGTTGTTGTGTGCAAGTTAATTTGGGTGACACCCTGGCTCAATGCGTGTACATGATAATGACCCATCTTCACACCTGAGGTTGATAAGTTCAGCTCCCCAGTCCCTAGTAACAAAGGGCATCGCTACTGGGAGCAAGAAGCTACTAGTAGCGGCATTACTACTAGAAACAAACAGCTACTAGGGTTATATACACAGCTTTGGGAGGCGTTTGCTGCTGACAGTCCACAACTCGTGGTACCCAACCAATGGGTGTGGGTCTCCCTATTTTGAGCTACACGGAAGTAGGGATGGGGGGGGAGCGGGCTACAAAATCAAGAAGTAGTGCCGCAGTGCCCATTTTACTAGTAGCGATGCAGCCCCGATCGGCCCTGGCTGGGTAGACTGGTGTATTTTCACCTTCCAGGGGTCGAAGATGGTCGAAGTGGGAGGTCTTGCTGTTGAGCTACACACCTTAATACCTTCCTGGACCCTGGTTGACCTGGTTCATACGGGGCGCTCTTTTCACCGAGCTCAGCCTTCGACGTTTGAGTCGACAGACTGAGATCATTAGAGCTGAAAGGAACTCGTGGTCTGATTGGCTGGCACAATTGCGCCTGTTTCTGTGGTTTCTTTTCCTAGCCAGAATGCATGCTGGAGATACTGGAGCACCCGGTGTTGTGCACCTCCATGCTTGCACGAGCCAATCTTGGTGAGAAATTGCCTTGCTGTCAAAACCATGTGCAGGCTTCGACAAACTTGCTGACGAAGTTCTTCTGAAAGTGACCAACTCGGTCGGCTGAGCATCAGGGGCTAGCTATCGCTCAAACAATCATAGAAGTGGATGGCGTGGCTCCTTGGATGAGCATTAGATCCTCTACAAACCGGTGGTGTTATCCGCTTACATGTAGCTCTCGCTCAATGTCGGCTGCCGCTTTCGAGCATTTTTGAGCTGTGGCTTGCTTCGATGTTCTCAGACTTCCAACATCTTCCAACAGCACAATGCATAAAAAAAAAGACACAACATTCACCATAGTGCTCGAGTCGTACCTTCGTTTCCAAGGCAGGACTGGGGGTGCAAGGCTCCACTCGAGGTAACCTCCTGGAGCATCAACTGGAGCCCGACAAGGCCGCCTAGGCCTAGAGGGTCAGGATCTGCAATCTTCAATAAACATCTTCCAAAGGTCCTTCCTTCCAGCACAAAACCACCATCCTCGTCCAACCCCACCATTCGTTTAGCGTGGGAATGCGTGGGATCTGTTTTTAACGACGTGCAGGTTACAGTATGTCCCTTGGATCTTTTGGAAAGAATAGAGAGGTCGGTGCCAAATAGGTAGCCTCGGGCTCCAAGCATACCTCCTGAGAAGGTATTTGGAGCCTCCCACCCGAGTCCCACATTGAAACGGTGCAACTGGAGCCCATGGAAGGGGCCTCTGTTAATCAACCGTTCGGCAGCGGTAGAAATTTGGGCCAAACCGACCTCGAAATCGACGTCGAAATTGCCTCCAAGCGGTGCATGGTCTCACGATCCACGACTTGCCTCGGCGAGAACCAACACGACGGTTTACCGTGGGAACTGTGGGGTTCACCACCACGTGTTTTCCTGGGGAAGCCAATCCCAAAAAGCATATGACCACGCATCTGATGACGCATGTTCTGAACTTGAAACCGGTCTTTTGGAGGTTTGTGGGCAATGTGTCGTCGATGTCGGTGGGCACATGGTCACAATGTCTAACAAGTTCAAGGCACATTCCTGTTCCTCAAAAGGACTTGGGAGATTTGGTGATTTGCCTGGGATTGGATGAGAATACAGAATACAGAATACCCACCAAGGTCCGCAACTCTGCAAACACGGGGTGAGCTCCACTTCCATCTCTTCCATGCGAGTCTAAGTGTATCAAAAGCATCTACTTCAAAAACACCACCTGGTAGGGAGCCCACTGTTGACCATCCACTGTTGACTCGTGGCATCTCCTCCTCCCAACCTGTAAAATTGGTTCTGAGTCTGTCAACCTTCCAAAGATATGACCATTCATTTCCCTGTCAAAGGGGTTGTGAAATGGCTTCTATAGGCTGTGGTCCTTTCAGTTTCGGGATTGCCCCAAACACAACGGAAACCGCCTAGGCTGGAATTTGAATATCCAGTTGCAGGGCTCCAGTCATACCTCCGAAACGAAGGTCTGACTGGACCCTCCTGGCACCTACCTCAGTCATTCCACCTTCGAAACGAAGGTACGACTGGAGCCCCTTTGCGGGTAGATGACTCCTAAATGATGGATTCCCAACGAGTTCTTTGGAGAGCCTTCGAACTCCACCGATCGCCATCGCCATCTCCGTCAAAACACCAGCCGCTCCACGCTTCCACGAACAAACACTCTGAATTGAAATGATCCTCTCTCGCCTACAAAAGCTCTGTAGTGTTTTCCATATTTGGCTATAGTCAAAACCAGGATACCTTGGTTGACCTGGTCGCTCGCGGCATCGTGGACTGGTCGGGCTCCATGTTTTGACCCACAGTCATTTTTGACTTTTTCACAACGGGTTTCAGCCGTGATGCTTCATGAGTTCATCCTGGCTGGAGATGTTGCAAGCACCTCCCGACCTGGAAACCGAAACTTGGCTCCGAAACCGGACAATCCGCTCCACATGCGCCGCAGAGAGATCGGGAATGGACGAGAAAGACCGATCAAATGGATGATGAACGTGTCAAAGACACGTGGTCTTCAGTTCCCTTTTTCCAGTCTGAGTGAGTTGCATTTGCGGCCACTACAGCGGATCTCAGTTCGACAAAACCGGCTTGAAGGCTTTTGAAGAGATTCACACGTCAACATACGTGCGCACGCACACACACACACCAGAATGTCATCCATGATTGTGCCTGTCATTTTCTTGATCAGGAGCCCGTTGCCCTTCGACTCCTACCTGTCCTACTTGGTCCCACTCCATGACGGTTGACCTCCAGGGGTTCTGCAGTTTCCGGGATCCGCACATTGCTTCCACTTCAGAACTCTTGGCTCACTTGTCGAAGACGTGATATTTATGTTTGATCCATTGAACAT